CACGGAGGAGCGGCTGGTTGAGTACCTGCTGGACCCTGCTCGCTATAACAAGCTGATCCGGCCGGCGACCAATGGCTCGGAGCTGGTGACCGTGCAGCTGATGGTGTCGCTGGCGCAGCTCATCAGCGTGGTGAGTTGGCCAGGGCTCTGCTCCCCAACCTCCTGGGCAAGCCAGGGGGGCCCAAACCCTCCCAGCACCGCGGGTGACCAGCCCTTCTCTCTCTCTGCAGCACGAGCGGGAGCAGATCATGACCACGAACGTCTGGCTGACCCAGGTGGGCATCCTGGACTCTGACGTGACCCTGAGACCCCCATGTCCACCCTCCCTCTGCCTTGAGACCCATCCCTATACCATGCATCCTGTGTGGGACCCTAATGCCTACCCTGCCCTGTTATAGCCCCCCATAAAGCCTCTGTGGGACCCCTGTGTCCCCCCTGTCCTGAGCCACCCCCTTGCCCATCCTGTGGCTGGGCTGGGCTGATCCCACCTGTCCTCAGGAGTGGGAGGACTATCGCCTCACGTGGAAGCCTGAGGACTTTGACAACATGAAGAAGGTCCGCTTGCCCTCCAAGCACATCTGGCTGCCTGATGTGGTGCTCTACAACAAGTAGGTCATTTTTGGGGGGGGCTATGTGTTCCCCAGGCCCACCCAGGGCAGGGGGCCATGTTGTACTGCTGGGGCTGACCACAGCAGGACTGACAGCAGCTCTCTTCACCCAGCGCCGATGGGATGTACGAGGTCTCCTTTTACTCCAATGCGGTGATCTCCTATGACGGCAGCATCTTCTGGCTGCCCCCCGCCATCTACAAGAGCGCCTGCAAGATCGAGGTGAAGCACTTCCCCTTTGACCAGCAGAACTGCACCATGAAGTTCCGCTCCTGGACCTACGACCGCACCGAGATCGACCTGGTGCTGAAGAGCGAGGTGGCCAGCCTGGATGACTTCACCCCCAGCGGCGAGTGGGACATCGTGGCGCTGCCGGGGCGGCGCAACGAGAACCCCGACGACTCCACCTACGTGGACATCACGTACGACTTCATCATCCGGCGCAAGCCGCTCTTCTACACCATCAACCTCATCATCCCCTGCATCCTCATCACCTCCCTGGCCATCCTCGTGTTTTACCTCCCGTCCGACTGCGGCGAGAAGATGACGCTCTGCATCTCTGTCCTGCTCGCCCTCACCGTCTTCCTCCTGCTCATCTCCAAGATTGTGCCACCCACCTCACTGGACGTACCACTGGTGGGCAAGTACCTCATGTTCACCATGGTGCTGGTGACCTTCTCCATCGTCACCAGCGTTTGCGTCCTCAACGTGCACCACCGCTCGCCCACCACGCACACCATGCCTCCCTGGGTCCGCACCCTCTTCCTGCACAAGCTCCCGGCTCTGCTCTTCATGAAGCAGCCGCGGCAGAGCTGCGCCCGCCAGCGCCTGCGCCAGCGCCGGCACACGCAGGAACGGGCTGCCGCGGCCGCTGCCACACTCTTCGTGCAGGCCGGGGCTCACACCTGCACCTGCTATGCCAACCCCGGCGCTGCCAAGGCTGCCGAGGGGCTCAACGGGTACCGGGAGCGGCAGGGGCAGGCGGCGGGCCCCGGGGCGGGCTGCGGCTGCGGGCTGGAGGAGGCGGTGGACGGCGTGCGCTTCATCGCCGACCACATGCGCAGCGAGGACGACGATCAGAGCGTAAGTGGAGGGGTGGGGATCTGGCAGTGGGCAGAGCTGGGGGTGCAGAGGGTGTTCTGGTTCATGGCTGTGCCACGGGGAGTGATTGCACAAGCACCAAGGGGGTCCCTGCCTATCCCTGTGCTCAGTGGGGTCCAGCCCTGATCCCTGACCCATCAGAGTGTAAGTCGAGGTGGGCAGTGGGGATCTGGGAGTGGGCAGAGCTGGGTGTTCTGGCTCGTGGATGTGCCACAAGGAGTGATTGCACAAGCACCAAGGGGTCCCTGCCTAGCCCCGTGCTCAGTGGGGTCCAGCACTGATCCCTGACCCATCAGAGCGTAAGTCGAGGTGGGCAGTGGGGATCTGGGATCTGGGCAGAGCTGGGGGTGCAGAGGGTATTCTGATTCATGGCTGTGCCACAGGGAGTGATTGCACAAGCACCAAGGTTAGCCCTGTGCTCACTGATCCCTGACCCACCACTGCAGTCCCAGGCTGAAGCAGCTGCTCTGGAAACACAGAGGTTCCCAGCAGGCCTGGCCCTGCACAGCAGTCAGGCTGCAGATTCTGCAGAGTTCCCCCTCCCAGCTCTGCTCACTGGGGAGATCTTTCCTGGGCTCATTGGTGCGGGTGACAGCAGGGGGAGTGAGCCCCATGAGGCCCACGGCAGGCTGGCAGGCAGCCCCAGGAGCTGCAGTGCTGAGGGAGCAGGTTCCAGGCTCTGAGATATGCAAATCCCAGTCGGGGCAGTGTCAGGCAATACCCCAGGCCCCAGGCTGACCCAGCATTTTCCCTGGCCCCCTGCAGGTGAGCGAGGACTGGAAGTACGTGGCCATGGTCATCGACCGCCTCTTCCTATGGATCTTCGTCTTCGTCTGTGTCTTTGGCACCATTGGCATGTTCCTGCAGCCCCTCTTCCAGAACTACACCACCAACTCCCTGCTGCAGCTCGGCCAGGGCACCCCCACCTCCAAATAGCATGGGGAATGGCCAGTCCCAGGGCCAGAGAGATGGGTACTGGGCTCAGGCAGCCCCTGCAAACCAATAAATACTCCCACAGGAGCGGGCTGCTTCCATCTGGTGTCATTTCATCCTACACTGTGCTCTGCACACTGAGAGAGCAGGATGCAGCCAGGGCTGGGGTGACTCTGGCTGCCTGGGACCAAGGTAAGAGGTAGGAAGGCATCATCTCTGTGAGAGGAAAATGCCAGAGAGCACAGGAGCGTGAAACCTGATCCACAGGGACATGCTCAGCTCTCTGCTCTGCTCCTGGCAGCACCAGTCACTCACTGCATCTCCTCCCAGCCCATGTGGGGCCAGAGCTCCAGCCTCATTGGGCAGCCCCTGGCTCCAGCCTGGTCCTGCCAACCCCTGTGCCAGCTCTGGGGCTCCCAGGAGAGACAGAGCAGGAGCAGAGGCATGGAGGGGGCAGAGCTGCTCTGGCTCTGGGGTGAACACATTTACCAAGCAGGAAGAGGCTATTTTTAGGTCCTACCTGCAGGCAGAGTGAGGGCAGCAAGTGCCAGGGGCTGCTCCAGCTCCATCTTCTTCTGTTCCACTCCAGGCTCAGAGCTGGAGCCAAGAGCAGGCACAAGATGAGTTGCACAAGGAAAACAAATCAACCAAGCTGGGAGCTGCTGGCAACAGGGCCCCAGCGTGGGTCACTGGGCTGAAACCATGGCCAGCAGCACTGCCTGCACTCCCTGGGCCAGCAGGAATTGGCCTCGTTGGGGAAAAGTGAGATGGAGTGTTTGCTATAAATACCACTAATCCCTGGGGCTGGGGGGAGTGGTGGTGGCGGGGCCTGGCAACACACAGGGCCAGGGGAAGCTGCACGCTAGAAATTAATTTAAATCCCAGCACTTCACGCAGCCAGAGAAATCCCAGCTGCTGCAGCTGCTGCTCCTGGAGCTCAGGGGTGCACCCCAATACCTCAATGTTAAGAGCTTTGCTCCTCAAGCAGCCCCATAGCAGGGACTTGTCCCAGTTCATCCCACCTCTGTGCCAACTCTGCTGTTGGTCCAACCTCAGTGAGTGCAGGATGGGGGGTCCTGCTGTGCCCCAGTGGGGAGTGGAGATCTGTCAGTATTGGGAAGGTGTGAGGAGCACAAGAGCCCCCATAGCCTCAGCTGCAGACAGAGGAGCCCCCAGCCCTGCTCTGGGCTGGGTGCCAAGGCAGCTCCTTCCCCTGACAGCTCTGCCTGGCAGTGGATGCCCACGGGCAGCTGCAGGCAGGGTGGACATGTGACAGTGGTGACCCTGCTTGGCCCCAGCCTGGCTGTGCTGTGGAGAGCCACAGCCAGAGCTGGGGTCCTGCTCCCAGCCTTGGGCTCCTCACTTTGGGCTGTACTTCCATGCTAAGAGGTCTTTGGTCTCTGTCTGATGTGAAACAGAGAGCTCTCATCCCAGCAAAGGCTGCATTTGCCTTGTACAGGGAAATGGGCTGCTTCAACAACACCCAATAAACTTGCTGTTGATGGCAGCAGCACTGCTACTTCTTCCACCAGCAGCTCTGGCAGTGGTTCAGCTCAGACAGACACAGGACAGGGCCTGCAGGCAGCACTGGGGCCCTGAGACAGGAGGCAGGACACCCCATCCTGTCCCAGAGCTCGCAGTGAGGGAAGGAGCTGGGAGGGCCCTGCCCCAGCATTTCAGAGTCCGGCCCTCACGGGCTCAGCTCTGCCCAATGAGCCCTGTGCTTGAGGTAAAAGGCTCAATTTCAAACTCCACCTGGCTCTTTTCATCATTCAGCAAACACTAACTCATCTCTGTCCCTCTCCAAACCCCACCACAGCCCCCTCTTCACCTCAGCAGGAATTAGCACACCCACGGCCAACAATGCTGAAACCTTCTTCTTTGTTATTAATGCAGAATGTCATGCTGGTCCTATGGCTGCACATTGCAGAGGTCAGTCCCATGTCCCAGCTTGGCTGGGCTGCCAGTCATCTTCCAACAGAGACACAGAAAAACACTCAAACAGCCTGAGCTTTTCTTTTTTTTTTAATCTCAAAGGAGAAAATTTGCCTCAAAACCTGCCAGAGGGATTTGCAGTACATGGTCCAAAGGTTTCAAGCTCACAGTCTTGAAAATTCCTCTGGTTTCTCGTGCCTTCTTTAAAAAACAATAAACGGGGAGGACAAAACTATAAAAAAGCAAATGGGGACTGAGCCTGCCCTTGCTTTAAAAAACAGGAGAATCATTTACATGCACATTTTAAAAACACAGGCTCTGAGTGACAGTGACAAGGCAGCCAGGCCTACGAGGAAACCACTGCACAGTCCTGAACCCACTCCAAAAACGTGGTGAAAGGAGGATGAGCACAGCCTGTGCACATTCACCCCCCAGTCCTTGCAGAATGCTTCCTTACACATCAAGGACAGAGAAATTTTCTTCCTCTTGGGGTTTGCGGATCCAGCTGCCGTAGCCCAGCTCTTCCAGCGTGCTGAAGAAGCTCTGCTTGGCTGCCTGGTAAGCTGTGGCTGCCTCCTTGGCATCTGAGTACACAGAGAAACCCTGCAGGTCTTTGCGGTTGTTCTTTGCACAGAGCTGCTGGAACAGGGTGAACATTTTCCTCTTGGACACACGAGACACCTCCAGCTTCACACTGGGAAGGAAGACAGTGACAGCAATGAGGGACAGGACATAGAGAAGAGCCAAGAGAAGCAGGGGCTCAGGGAAAATCCCATGATGGAGGAGCTCTGGGCTTGGCAGGGCTCAGTGGTAGGGTCCAGGCAAGGCAACATTTTGTTTTCCTTCAGGACTGCTGGCTTATGTCTGTTTAAAATCCCTCTATCCAACCCTCCCCATGTGTAGGGTGTTGCCCCATTTCTCTTCACAGAGAAAAGCAAGGCACAATTCTTCCCAAGAATATTTCTGGGTTTCCCATTCTCTGAACCTCAGAGAAAGGAAAAACAAATCTTATTTGCTTTGCCTGTGTTTGTGCAAAAGTAGAATGCAATATGGAGGTTTTTTACCCAAAGTGATGGTGTTTTGTTTTCTTGGCCTATCAGGGATAGGGGTGTGTGTGTGTTGGGAGATGCTGTGCAGTTGAGTGCTTGGCAGATTCAGTTAGATGTAATGTAATATAGCATACAATAATATAGTATAAAAAAGTAATTAATTAGCCTTCTGATAAGACAGAGTCAGATGCATCTCCTTGGGGGCAAAAATATCCACTATACAGGGTGCTGTAACAGTGCAGAGTGTACTCCCCAGCTCAGAGCTGCCCCCCTTCCCCCAGGCAGTGCCAGGAAAAGGCAGTGTCAGGAAAGGCTCCTCTTACCCATCTACTTTCCCTTTGGTGCCATCCAAGATTTCCACTTCGCCTTCATCAGCAAGACACCAGTTCACTGATGACTCCTTGGTCTTGCCCGTCTGCCTTGCAGAGTCGTACACGCTGACTCGCCCAACCTGCACAAAAAGGAAGCTTAGCCTGGTCCTGCTGCCTCAGTCTCTTGCCCCTTTCATCCCTCACAGTTTTAGCTCATCCCAAACTTTCCAGAGCCACAAGGAAAAGGTTCTTACTGAGTTGAAGGCTAGAGAGGCACTTTAGTGTCCTTTTTTCCAGCCTAAGACATTGCCAGTAACCCCCAAACTGTGCAGTGACACAAAGAGGGCAGGTTCTTGGGGTTGTCCTGTGTAGGGCCAGGAGCTAGAACTCATGAGACATTGTGGTTGCCTTCCAACTCAGAAAATCTCTTGATTATGTGATTCTGTGCTTCTGGTCACTAATTCTTGCCCCTGGTTGGAGGGCTGCTGCACACTGACCCTCCCTGCAGAGCACCTCAGGGACCCCCAAAGGCACAGGCAAAGATGAAGAAGTGCCACAGCTGCAGTACCTCAGGGTGGTTGATGTGATATGGAGCCTGGAGCTTTTCCTTCAGAGTGCTCCCATCCCTCTCCATACGGCAGCAGATGGCACGGGTCAAGTGACCCTGGCTGTACAAGTAACCTGTGCAGACAGAGGTGAAGGTGTGAGGAAATGGGATGGCACAGTGATGGACTGGCCAAACCCCAAAAACACTTTGCACCACTGCTCACAGGCTCCTGAAAGCCCAGAGCATGTGGATCAGCACAGCTATGTGTATGCTGGGTGTGTAAGACAATGGTCTTCACACTGCAACACTTCTCACTCAAGACACAAACATGCAGTTTTTGTCCCACTCTCCTAGATCACATGTGCCTCCTAAAAATCCAGAACTTTGCAGAGACACTGACCATACCCACAGCCTAAAATCCATAGATTCCCTTTGCACTTTCAAACAGCTCTGCCAAGAAAGACATTTCAGTCTGTTACTCCTACACCCTCCACAAACCAACTCCTACACCCTCCACAAACCAACTTTGCCATCAGACGAGCTGTTCACTGCAGCCTTGTTTTACCCTGAGAGGACAGAGGGTTTCTCACCAAGTGTCACAGAGTGGAGATAAACTGGCTCCAGGAAGTGTGACAGCAATGCCCCTTGCAAGCCCAGAACATTCCAGCGTAAGATTTTGTCACTGCAGGACATGGTCCGTAAGCGCTCCCCGTGCTGGATCCCGTCCCACGTGGGCACAATGTCACTTGACTCCACAGGAATGGTGCCTTCCCCTGCACCAGAGAAGAAAAAAGCTTTTCTGTGTAGTGTCAGATAGTCAATAAATCAAAAACCCCATCAGCAACTGCTTGGGAAACTTCTGGATGCACAGAGTTTGACACCAGGTTCAGGGAACAATCTGGCATTCAGTATTGGGTACTGATGAGTAATTTTCAACATGGCTGAAGCAGAATAGAACTTTGCTTGAAAGGCAGGACACAGACACAGATCTGAGCTTTGCATCAAACTTCACAAAGCATGGCAGTGCAATAGGCAGGGCTGGGAAGGGGAAAGGGACTCTCTCTAAAGCCTTCCTGGGAAGGGGAAAGGGATTCTCTCTAAAGCCTTCCATCTACCTCTCCTGGTTCCTGAATGCTTCAAATCCCACAACAGCACACAGAGAGGGGTAAGGAAGCTCTGGAGCACCAGAAAGGCTCCAGAAGAGGACTGAAGCCACGCCATGGTGCAGGGAGTGACTGCACTCACCGTTTTCCACCTTGGTCCGCAGCTTGCCTTGCTTGAGGTTCTCAAAGAGAGGCTGATGTTGGGTATGTCCCATTTCATTTGGCTGATCACTGCAGGATTTATCAAAGAGTGCTCCATCCCCACATGGTGCTGTGCTAGAAAAAAAACCCTCCTGGTCAGCCCTGACTGTAAAGGAAACAGCCAGGGCCAGGGGCATGACAGTGCTGCTGACACCAGTCATTCAACCCCCTCACCAACCTGACATAGAGGTGGAAGGTAACACTGCTCTTTATTTTGAGTTTCTGTCCTGCTTGCTCAAAAATGCTCTCTTCTGCAGAGGAAGGATTAGATGGGTCATACTTCATCAGCTCACTGTAAAGAAACCTGAAAAAAAGAAAACACCATCCTGTCAAAAGGCTGCTCTGCTTCTCAGACAACAAGTGTTTCAACTGACAGGCAGAGTCCCACATCACCCATTCCTGCCACATGGAAGAGCAGACACCAGGAGCTGTGGCTCAAGATGCCTGGCAAGCCAGCAATGCTTGATGCACAAAAAAGGCAAAAAATCCAGCAGATTTTCTGCCATGCAGAGGACAAGCAGTAGAAAAGCAGGATCCTGTCCAGGTGCTGCTCTCACGCATCTGATCCCAGTGTGAAGAAGACTTCAAGGTTGTTAACCAGCACCTTTAGTCAGCAGCAAGTTTGCATTAAAAGTAAACAACCCTGGAGGCAGCTGAATTCAAGTGGTATTAGAAGGAGCCCATGATCTGTTCACACTAATGGGTTTTTTATGGCTGATTCTGGCCAGGGAAAACCCTGAGGTCTCCAGCATTGTGTCAAGGACTAAAGAAAAACTGCAGCCTCCCAGACAGTCCTTGAGCAGAGCCTGTGCAGGGACTGATTGTGCAAGGAGAGGCAGAGTTCACTCTGCTGTGCCAGAGCAGCCACTGCTGTCAAGATTAACAGCTGAAAACAGACAATAAGCAAGATGCAATCCTGATTCATCACTTCCCAGGGACCTGCCCTCAACACTTTCCCTTGCTCAGGAATGCAGAGCACAATGGCAGCACACAAAGGCTTGGAGGAAGCAGCTGATGTTTTGTTCATAACTGAAGGACAGATGTTAACCAAGCAGTCCAGCTTCATCTCATTTTAGGTTTCAAAAACTAAAAAGTGCCACAGTGAATGTAGGAGGGGAAGAGGAAGAAAAGAATTGTGTAGTTTAGTTGTGTAGAAAGGGGAAAACCCTTTCCAGCTTCTGAAAAACACGTTAATTATCAAAGCAAACATATGCAGTATGTTTTCATGAATCCTTCTACTGAAAGGCCAGGAGAGCAAGCCTGCAGTGGCTTGGTGTGGCAGGAGCTGTCCCCAGGCTGGAGAGCCCCTGTACATCAGCCCAGCAGCTTCAGCAGGAGCCTTAACATTGAATACATCAGATGCAGCCCTTGGGCTCCTGGCAAGCCTCCCATTCAGTTCTTATTTGGGCATCATTCAGGTATGGCCCCTTCTTACCAGAAATAACTTCCCTCTATTCAACAACACGAGTGAACAGTGTCTGAGGATCACAGCATCCCTCAGCACAGCAAAAATCAAGGGGTGTGTTTCAGCTACACCCCTCCAGAATGGGAGAGCAGCTCCTGGCAGGCCCCTCTCCTTTTCCTTTTGAGTTTCCCCTTTTCTCACCTCACAAAGCCTCTTCGAGAAATGATTTCTGCATGACAGTCATTCACTGTCTCCCCCTTCAAGCTCAGCTCTTCTCCTTTCACACAGCGATTACCTGAAACAATCAAACAAAGAATTAAATACTAGGGCAGGTATCAAAGTCAAGATGGCTTCAGAGACAGAGGGAGGAATTCTTATTTCTTTGGACTCTCGAGCAGCAGCACCAGCATGAGCACTCTGCCTATTAAATCACTATCACAAGCAGTTAAATGTCACCACATTTCTCTTCACAGAGAAAAGCAAGGCACAATTCTTCCCAAGAATATCTCTGAGATTCACTTTCTCTGAACCTCAGAGAAAGGAAAAACAATTCTTATCTTATTTGCTGTGCCTGTGTTGTGCCAAAGTAGAATGCAATATGGAGACTGTCTCCCCAGAGTGATGGTGTTTTGTTTTCTTGGCCTATCAGGGCCAAGCATGTGTGTGTGTGTGTGTGTGTGTGTGAGGACTGTGGGCTGCGTCACAAGACTCTGTGCAGTTGTGTGCAGAATTGAGTGCTTGGTAGATTCAGTTTAGATGCAATGTAATATAATGTAATGTAGTATAATAAAGTAATTAATTAACCTTCTGACTAGACTGAATCCTTCTCATCATTCTCTCCCCTTGTTGGGGATTTCCTGCAAATTCTATAGTTAAGAAAATAAAGGGATGCCACTTAAGGACAGACAGACTTAAACTGCCATGAGTTTTGGGGGACTCTACCTTCCTGAGGGTTTTTCAGCCCATCACTCCAGGTAGAAGCCTGGCAGCAAAGCAGGGAGGGAAATAAGGTACATGCAGCTGGGAGAAACCGGGGGATTGTGAGCTCTGGCACATAAGGAACCCATGCTCTGCTGCACAGAGCAGGACACAGCAATGCAAGCAAAGATTAAGAGCAATATAGCTGCAGGCACATTTGCTTTGTTCTCTTTCTCTCTAACCAGATCACTCATGACACCGTGTGAGCCCCGGGAACATTCTGTACCCTCTCTGAGGCTGCCTAGAGCAACAGCCACTCCTGAACCATGGCTGACAGGGAAACCCAGCATGAAGGGAGCTCAGAGTGTGCTGAAGAAGCTGCTCATACCTGTTCCAATGCTGACCACCACTCCCAGGCCCTGATCTCCTCTCCTCATGATGATGGCAGCCAGGATCTTGCGGCCCAGCAGGCTGTGCTGGAGGCGAGCAGTGAGCGAGTTGAAGCGCTGGTGGCTCAGCATGGCCAGCTGATCGTGCAGGGTGCTGCCACTCACAGGGAGCTGGGATGGGACAACAGCACAGGACATGAGCAGGTCACACCACACAGCTCAAGTGTCACTGGGGGATTTTATGAAAAATCCCTTCACCAGGATTGCTTCTCCTGGAAACCCTCAGCTTCTCCATGGTTTGCTCCTCTGGAATGTGATTTGGAGAGTTGTTTACCCAGCATGTGTCAGGACTCTGGTCAGTCCCAGGTTTTTATCATCATTCTTTTCTAGACTTCTGATGTCTCCTTTCTCTTTCTTTAGTATCATTTTAGTATATAATTTTCATTTACTATCATATCTCATATACTAATAAATCAGCCTTCTGAGAACTTGGAGTCAATCCTCATCTCTCACCTCATCCTGGAGACCCTCACAGCAACTTGGTGACCACACTCAAGGGTAAGCTAACACTCTTTAGCACAGCTTTGTAGAAATGTGCTCCTTGTTGAAGGAGTGACAAAATTATCTTTTGTCTCCTTAAAAAGGAAATAAGCCCAGAAGTTTAACTCTTCATTTAGGTGAAAAAGACACCTCAGAGGACCTGGGGGACTTCAAACTTAAGGATAGCTGATTGGACAGAAGCCAAAAAGTACCACCTAGGCAATTTACTAGAAAAAGAAGAGAATAAAGAAACCAATTGCTTTTATGAGGTGTTTTACTAGGGGCAGGAGGGCCTCTTGCACCTGGATTGGTTTTTCTTTGTAAAGAGTTTTGTTATTTTGGTTTTTAATAAAACTCTTTTGTTTCCAGCACTGCCACAGAAGCCATTTTGCTGATTTTATGCCTTTTAAAGTAGCTGAGCTATCTTGGTGTGAAATAGATTTCCAAAAGCTTACAGGAAACTCCTGTTTCACAGCTTTCCAAGCAGAAGGCACAGAAAATCCTGAGCTTTGGGCAGTGCTGTGTCAAGGGGTGGGTGAAGTTCTTTTAGTTATTTCTGGGAAAATCTCATCCAAGGTTTTGAGCTCTGCTTTAGCCACATCAGAGACAGCAACAAGCTATACAGGCTGAGGAATGGCCTCCTGAGAATGCCAGGGAAAACCCTGAGCAAGAAGGAACAAAACCAACCCGCCTATGTGCAGAGACTCAGCCAAGGAAATCTGTTCTGGCTTTGGAGGAATTGCTCCTCTGGCTGCCTGTGAGGAGAGTGCACAGTCATTCCAGCACAGACCAAGCCATCTCCTCCAGCACTGCTGACTGACAAATCCTCCCTGATGACTTTGCTATTTAGAGCACCAGTTGTGCTGCCTGGAATGAGGCTTTTCAGAGCTCACAACACTCTATGTGTGATTTATTTCAGCCCAAGTTTGGGACAGCCATCCTGACATAACCAGGGCTTTGTGTTTAACTGATGTGTGAATTTGAGCTGACACACAATTTTTAATGCAGTACAAAGAAATAACAAAAAAGTAATATAATTTTTAAAAAGCATGTTCCTACCCTACCACAGGAACTCATTTTAGTAGCTTGTGGAAGAATCTGATAATAATTTAGCCCTAAAGCAGAGGCCTGTAGGACAGAAGGGTATTTCTGCACCCTGAGGAAACATTTAACCCACTTCAGGAAAACCACATCAGGTTATGAACAGCTGCAGAGAACAAAGGGATCACAGCTGATTTTGAAAGCATTTTTTGGTTGGACTGAGAGGAGGAGGATAGGCAGGCCTATCACACAAGCCCAGCTTTGGCAGAAGATTCACCTCAGTGATGCTCATCCCTTCCATGCGCTCGGTCTTCTCTGATTCCCCAATGAGGACTCTGAGAGCTGCATCAGCTGCCTCCTGCTTGCCCTGCTTCTTGCTGTGTGCAGTCACAGCTGGGAACCAGCGGCCTCCAACCTTTGCCTGATACACAAACCTACAAAGAAACCAAGAAACCTGTGAATTTCAGTTTGGTTTTTACATTTCTCAAAGTGGAGAGAGGAGTGAATCAGAAGGACAAGATTTGGCAGAGGCAGCAGCTAGCCCTGTTGCCATCTCAAAAGGCAGCAGCTACTTTGAGCCTTCTGCAGCACAAAATTTCCTTCAGCCAGATGCTGCTACTTACTTGGGGTCATGGGGAGGTCCTGACTGGTCAATGAGTTTGAACTCTGCAGCAAACCCGTTGGAACGGGCGTATTCCAGCAGGCCACTGACAGGATTGACATTCAGATATTTGATGAGCTCCCCAACACCCTTTGTTTTCACCACTTTGGATTCATCTGGAGCAGCAATATTGTGCATGGACTGGTCACTGAGGGGCTTCACAACAGGCTAGAGTAGAGTTAGACATGAGAAGACTGTTTAAGACTGAGCAGCTGCATTTAGTGCAGGAAACCTCAGCCCCACATGACCTTGTGGGGTGAAATCCAGCAGAATATGAAATATAAGGGGGGGGACACCCAATTCCAAACACTTGAATCTTATAAAAAAGCTCTTTATACCTGTTCAGGCAAGACATGGGGTACAGACTCTCCAGAAAGAATCTTCACAGCAACTTCTGCTGCCATTTGCTTTGCTCCCTTCTTGCTGTTTCCTACCACAGCAGGGAAAATTTGGTCACCCATTTTCACACAGTAGCTGAACCTGACAGGATATTATAGTACATGAAAAGTGTTAACCATAGGTGTCTCAATCTGGTTATTATCCCCATGTCCCACTTCCAGATAAATCCTTCTGGGTTATCTCCAACTAAAATCTACTGTGATGGCCTTAAACACTTCCAGTAGAGCACATCCAGGAAGGGGACAGGACTGGAACCCCCTCCTGCTCTGGTAGAAGAAGCAGCATCCTTTCTCTGAGAAAGGGCATTGCTCTGGGTCTCCTTCTGGAACTAGATATCATGCCCAGAATCCTTGGCTAAGAGAAGCACTCAGCTAGGTCAGTGACAAATCCAGCAATGTGGGCAGCAAGCTGAAGGGGAAGGACAGTAAAGAAAAAGTTTCCACCCTCCCTCAAAGCTAACAAGAATATGCCATACCTAGGATCATGAGGTGGGCCTTCCTGAGAGAGCAGCTGGAATTCAATGATGTTCCCTGATTTTTGACCATACTCCATTAATATGCTGATAGGGTGCTTCCCAGGAAGCAGATTGAGGGGAGCTGCTGCAGATGACAGCTCTGGCTCCAGCTGCAAAGGCTACAGCAGGAAGATGGAGGAAATCAGTGTCAGACTCAATGGTGTTTGAGCAGCCTCACAAAGTAAAGAAAACAGGACTCACCAGGTCTGGTTCTGAGCTGTTGGAGGGTAATGGCTCCTCACATTTAATTCCACCTTGCCTTCCATTCTCCACTTCACTCATCAGGACCCTCATGGCATTAGCTGCTGCCTCCTGCTTGGCCAATTTTTTGCTCCCTGCTTCTGCTGGAGGGAATCGGCGGCCGTTGATCACGACCTGGAACTTAAACCTTTGAAAGAGAAAACCAAAGGGGCACAGTGAGAAGCAGAAGTGTGGTCTGCTCCAACAGCAGGCTGCTCTTGGAATTTAGAGAAGAAACAGCCAGCTCCCAGCTGGGAGAGTAAATCCAGGCTGCCATGAGCAGAAGACAAAAATACCAAGGCTTATTACATCATTACATTTGTAGAGCTGTTCACAACAGAAGAGCAGCTCCACATTTTGTTCTGAAGAACAGGATGAATTGTTGTGTTCCACCACAGGTGCCTGGAGCAGGTAATGGCTGTGGGCAGACAGCAGCTCTGTGGTGGCTCCTGGCCAGGAATAAGAAAGCTCAAAAGCAGCCTGCACTGTTTTATTTGCACCTGGTCATTCAGGGGTCACTCCTGCCTCTGGCATTCTCTTTGAAAGGTGCTGCCTCACATAAACCTCCTGCCTCTGACACTTCTGCCTCCCCCATTCCTGTGACCTCTAACAAACAAGTTGATCTTCCATCCTCCAGCCCTGGAAATCTTCCAAGGAGAGTAGGTCAAACCAGATCTGGAGAGGGATTATGGTGCTGAATACATTCAGATCCTTTCTTAAAAAAAAAAACAACAAACCAAAATAACAACACCCTGGGACTCCATCTTTAGAAATTAGGCCAATTTTCCTGTCTAGCAGATCTATTGACATATTCCAGTGTGGCACATATGGAGATTTTCTTGGTGTTGCTTATGCTCAGTAACAGCCACGATTCTGCAAGGGACTCCAGAGACTGACTTAGCCAACTGCAGTGTCATGCCACATGCTCAGCCCAGAGTACTGGCTCTGACCTGCTACAACACAGAAAGGTACACAGTGGGGCCACCTTGCTTAACTTTGTTCTGGGCTCCCTTTACACCATTTCCAGGTGAGAGCATCTTGAGAGGCACCTTAGAAACACCAGTTTCCCCTATATGGTCAAACTGAAGGTAACTAATTGAGATGGGACCTACTGAAGAAATTAATCCCATCTTTTCTGCTCAGAATGAGGAAAGCCAAGACTGGGTTACCTAGGGTTAAATTTTAGCTTTGCTTTATTTTTTTAAGTTGATGCAAGGAATCAATTAGGCTAATCTTTCTGAAATAAAAGAAACATTAACAGCAGGCCCCTTCAGGACAGTTGAGTGGGTGAACTCAGTTAAAGTCAAATCATTTAATGGAAAAAGAGCTCAGGAAAGGCAGGACATTTTCTTACCGTGGCTCATGAGAGGGTCCATTCTGCTCCAGCATGATGAAATCACAGTGTTGGTATGTGTACTGGGAATATTCTGTAAGGCCACTCACTGGGTTCTTCTCCTGACAAGCCATCAGTTTCTCTACAGGTGTACATGGCAAAGCAGTTTCAAACTGGGCAGCATAACTGGGGGAAGACTGAGAATTCATGATGCCTTCTGACTTATCAGGCTGCTTGCTGATTGCATTCAGATTATCCGGGATATCATCTGTGGTCCATGTGCTGTTTTCTGAGTTATCATAATTATTCAAACTGGAGAAGTCAGGCTTAGTGTCCTCAGATGCATCTGCTTCTGTGTCACTGACATTGCCCTGACCAGCCTGCCCCAAAGGCTGCTGCCCATTTTCTGCACTTTCTTCTTCTTCTTCTTTTACCGCTGCTGGTGAAGCTGCAGTCACCTCTGGAGGACGTGGTGGGACAAAGGAAGAGGGAAGACCTGACCCAGGAGGTGTGGCATCTGCCATCTGCATTATTGTGCTGGCCTTCATCCTCATCTGCATCCTCTCACGTTTCCTGTCTGTCAGGGACCACCGTGGTGGAGTTGCATTCTGCTTGTGGACATCCCCCAGCTTTTCCAGAGCACTAAGAAATGCATTAACATCCTTGGCTCTGGAAAACCCAATGTTCTTGGCAAGATTGAGAGCTGTTGTTTCTGCCACACTGTACAAGTAGTTGCAGATTTTCTCCTTTGTCTCAGCCATCTCTGTGTCTCCCAAGCCAAACGCGCTCCGCTCTCCCCCTCTGCTCTCACAATTTGCTGGATCTGTGCAGGTGGCACTGTGGTCAGTGGGGCTTCTATCTCTCCCTGAACCAGGGCTGGCAACCCTCCACAGTGGTGGTGTCTCTCCCTCTTTGTGCAACTTCCCTTCTTTGAGGAGTTTATACAAAACACGGTTGACCTCTTTCTTTTGAGTTCTAAGTTTACGTGCCAGCTCATGAGCCGTGCAAGTCCTCCCCTCCCCGAGCTGCCTGAAAACACTCAGAATTTCTCCTTCATAGTTCTGCCCAGCAAGAGACAGTCTCTGAAAATTCAGCCTCACAGCGTCAGACTCTCTCCGGGAGCTCTCCTGCCGATGGTGCTGCGGAGGGCAGTAGCGAGGCACAGTCCCAAGCCGCGGATGTTGGCTGGAGAAGAAGCTACGGCCGGCAGCGCTGGGCTGACCTCTGCCTGCAGGAGCCGGTGCCGCAGCTCGCCCGCCTCTGGTGCGCCACTCCTTGTGTGATCCCTGTCCCTGCAACACAGAGACTTCAGCGTCCTGCTCTGCTAGGAAGCGCTGGCGTAAAAAGCTTTCCTGGTTAGTTTCTTGTAGGGTACGAGGGTGGTTAAAAGGACCTCGGTTAGTGCTGGGGTAGTGGTGCCTCGGCTGGGTGAGACAGGAGCCTCTGCCTCGCCCAGCGCCTCTGCTCATAGCGCACTGCTGGGACACGCGGGGGAGCCAGGCTGCTGCTGAGCCGGGACAGGAGCCGCCACTCACTCCGCACTCTCCCGCCCTGAGGAGAGAAAACACAGCGGCTCAGAACACCTTTTCACAAAGACAGCATTCCAGAAATGCAGTTTAAACAGCTTCCCGCCTACTGAGGCACTTCAAGCATCTTCTCACTCGTCAATTGTTTTTGTTTACTTTTCTAGGAGTCTAAATTAGTCCTGTAAAACCACAAACGGCAAACTCTGACTGCCCAGCAGCTCTAATCAATCCCAAGAAGCAGCTTTGCCACTGTTCCTCTCAGGCTTGATTCCAGCACGGGGCTGGGTGGCCTCAGGACGCACTCCTGAAACACAGCAAGCTCCACTGCCCTGCCTCCAGGGAGAGGAGAATCTCAGACCTACTTTGCAACCTGAGAAATGGGGGCATGAGGAGGTAAAGGAGAACAAGGAGCTGGAGCAACTTGCATGGTCACACAGAACAGAGCTGCAACAGGCTCACAATTATTTTGAGATTCATGGCCAAAACAGCCTGAAATGCCAAGTGTCTTTTCCTCCCTGGACATTATGTGACCTGTAGAGGCAAAACATCACACAACAGGGGAATGAAAGTGATAAGATGCAGAGAAATTGGATAGGTGTGCAGCTGGCAATGGTACAACAAGTTTTTTTCCATTATAGCCCAAATTTCACTCTATCACACAAAGTTGTGCTGCCTCCCCGCGGTACAGGGGTAAGACTAAACTAATAATATTCTTTTTAAAAGTAAGGAATCCAGCCCAGCATATTGTAATTTTCTGATAACGCTTGCTGCAAAACTGAGAGGATAAAGACACGGAACATGATACACATACTGCCAGGTCCACATCCCGCCTTCTCCTCCTTGACCTCCTTACGGCATCTCTCGTCACAAAGATCAGATTTTCAGATGCAAGTCTCATCTTCATAAAGCTCCCCATCTTCACCAAACACCTCAAGGTCAACTTAAATGTAATTTCCATTAAACAACTGCACTCGGCTGCCTTTACCGGGATTTATTTTTACAACAAACACGGGGAAGGCAGAGTGAAGAGGGACAAGTCTCCACCTCCCCGGGAGTCCCACTGCTGCCCCCTGCTCAGTGACCCCGTTTTACAAGCGCTCCCTGAGCCAAGGGCAGGGCAAAAACAGGATGAGGACTTAAAAAAAAAAAAAAACCAAAACCGCTCTTACCTCAGTCTCATCCGCACGCCAAATTATTTTATGAGAAAATAGAGGGGAAAAAAAAGAAAGGCCGAGCCGCAGAAGCGGCACCGGGACAGCGCTAAGATGGCTGCAAGCTCCGTTTCAGTTTCGTTTCCCGCAGCAGCCGCTCCGCTCCGCCCCGCCCAGGGAGCTCGCAGCGGGGGCCGGCCGGGTTTGGGGCTTTCCCAGCCGGGCTCTGGGCTTCGGCAGCGATCAGCAGGGTCCGTACCGACGGCGGGAAGGGGAACCGGGCAGGGCAGCTCCTTCCGCCGGTCCCTGTGGCGCTGCAGCCCCGCCGCTCAGGAGCTGCCGCCGGGACGGGGTCCCGGTCCGCGGGCTGAGGGAGGGGCTGCGGGAGCACCTGCCCAGGGAACGCCTGCCCCCTTCAGCTACACCCCAAAGGCCACCCGGGTACCGCGGCAGGACGGCTGCTGCCTGCACCCGTGTCAAACCCCGTTCCCCGGCACCCACGGCGGGAGTGGCGGCACCGGACGAGGCCCCCGAGCCCGGAGGGTGGGCTGGGAGACAGGGCGGCGAGCACTAAAAGCCGGGAGTCGAGGCTTTTATTTATATCCGCCCTGTGGAAGCCGGTCCCGACAGGGACCTTGGGGAGCCCGGACACGGTCACACCGCGGGGCTGCCTGCGCTGGAGACCGCACCACGGCCTGTGCGGCCCGGGCCCCCGGTGCCACCGGGACCGGTGGCCGCAGCGAGACACGGGGGCCCGGAGGGACACACGCAGGCCCGTGGGGGCCCGAACCCCGCCCGCGGCCACTGGAGGACACACAGGCTCGGAAATACCCACGGGGACCGGACCCGGCCCGCGGCCGCCCCCTCCCCACGCCCCGGTACCTTGCCGCCGCCGCCGCCGCTGCCGGCGCCCGCTGATGACGCAAGCGAGCCTCATGCGCCTGCGCAGTGAGCCGCGCGGCAGCCATCTTTCCCTAGGTCCCAGCGCGGCCATGTTTGGTGAGGCCAGTGCTCGGATGTGCCGGTGCTGCGGGCCCGGCGGGGCTCGGCTTAGTTATGCCTCTCCTGGAGAGGCAGCACTACCGTCCAGTCCCCCGGCTGAAAGGCAGCGCCGCTCCGGCTGTGCCGCGGGGAGCGGTGGCTTGAGGCGCTGCTGCCCGTGCGGCTCACATGGCGTTCCCCCTGCCCGGCCCGCGCATGCGCTCGGAGCGCCGCCGAACATCCCGGTCCCCCCCGGCCCCGCCATGCCCTCAGGGCTGGGGGGCTTCTCCCCTCCTCCCTGCGCCCCCGTGGCCCCTGGGACACCCATTTCCTATGGGCTCTGTGTCTGTGGTGGGGCTCCCTTCTCCCTTGGAGCTTCCTTATCCCCTGTGCCCCTCACTGAGGTCTTTCCCGCGGGGCTCCTTTTTCACCTCAGGCTTCCTGTGGGACGCCCCTCACCCCCATTCTAGTCCATTATTTTAGTGCCGGAGGTGCAGCAGGTCACATCCCACCCTGTCCGAGGTTCTTTCTAGGCAAACGGACATGTGGTGACACAAATGGACACAGGGACACAAATGGACACGTTCCCCTCCGTGATCCCAAAGCAGGCGCAGCCCCGCTGCCGGTGGATCCTCCCTTTCCCGGGCAGTCACCATCCGGACCGTGTGAGTTATAAAATTATAAAACCACCGGCAGAGAACAGATTGTTCCTGCCTGCTGCTGCACAGCGCTGTGAAATGACAGCCGGGTGCCATTTACCGGCGGGCACCGGGATCCGAGCGGGCACTGCCCCGGCACCGCCGTTCCAGCTGTCAGCAGCCCCTGTTGGGCGGTGGGCACTGTGGCATTTATACCTGTGGGTGTGGATCATAACCAAAAGGCTTGGTGTGGAAACTCAGGATATTCCTCTGGCTGCTCTGGAGGACTCGAGACCCTGGCAGGGGGCTCAGAGACCTTGGCACGGAGTCAGACACCTGTGCCTTTGATTTTAACCCATGGAAACAATTACCAACTTTGTGTGAGGAGTTACAAGCCACAAAGGTTTGAATAGAATGATAGTGAATTTACCACAGGGTGGAAAAGTAGAATTTTAGGGTTTTTTAGAATGGGGGTTCTATAGGTAAGATGGAGGAATGTGGGCGTGTCCAGCCTTTCTCCTTCTTGTCCTCCATCTTATGCTGTCATGGTGACACTTTTGGATTGGTTTAGAGTAGAAACACACTGTCTAACATAGGTGATAGGTATCGGGAAATTATTGTAAATAATGCACATTTAGTACATTTTAGTATAAAAAGCTAACACCACCTCTGGGGTGATCAGTGTGCCACAGACTGACTTGCTAGACAGAACTCGGTGGGTCAGAGAAAGAATGTTATAGATAAGAAAAAAAAAACTACCTTGGAAAGCAGAACTGAAAAGCTCGTCTTCTTCTTCAGTCTTGGGGCTGGGGAAAAGAGACTTTCTAACACCTCAGGGTCATCTTGACACCAGAGACCTCATCAGCTTGGGAGCTGAGCTGTTAGATAGAGCAGCCCTGGGGGGTCAGGTTCTTTTTCCAGCCAACAAGTGGCAGGACAAGAGGAAATGGCCTCAGGCTGCACAGGGCAGGTTTAGATCAGATGTTAGGGGATGTTTCTTCAGGAAGAGGCATTGGTGGATCAAAAATGGACTGGATGTGGCACCTGGGGATATGGATTAGTGGTGGCCTTGGCAGTGATGGGGAATCAATAGCTGGATTGATTCCTGTAAAATCTGTGATTTTACAGGGCTTTTCCAACCTCAGCAAATCTGCAATTCTATAATTCTGCTGCTGTGGTACAACCAGTGAGCAGCTATCACGTGCAGGACCATCCTCTGTGAGTGCCCAGACCCTCTTCTGCTTGAGTGGTGAGTATGGAGGGAGCCAGGAGGGATGGCCATGGCTTCTGGGTGAATTTTAGGGGCTCATCTTCCTACATTTGTCCATGAATGGGCAAAACATACCAAGACAAGCTCCTCAGAGCACCCTGTGTGTCCCAGTGGAGTGGCAGCTGGATGTTCCTTTAGGTGGGGACCATAACCCACCGTGGGCTCTTCCCTGCAGCTTTCAAAGGCATTTCAATGAACCTGGAGTAGTGACAGGGTGCAGAAATGGTGAGTCAGAGCCCAGAATTGCCAGGCTCAGCTGCTGCTCGTGTTCAGTGAAGATTGTGGATTGTTCAGGGTTTGGGGATTTCTTTTTTTTCAGATTATTTCTGGATTTAGAGATTTTGGGGCTTCTGTGTCATAGTGTGGTTTTGGTGAGGAGTTTTTTTTCCTGTAATGTAGAGACTCCTTGCCTAAAGAAGAGCTCCTCACACTCACTGAAGCTGTCACATCTGTTCCTGGAGGGTCTGGGAGCACAAAGGTTCCTCCCTGGGATGAGGCTGGTGGCAAACACAGGGGTCACAGTGCACATCAGCAGTGTCTCCCCTCCACTCCACTGAACAGCACACAGAGCACACAACTACCCACTCCTCAATCTGTTCTTTTTTTTCTTTTTTTCCACCCTCCTTTAATTGCTGGTGATCCCTCCCAAGCTTTGCTCCAGGCTCAGTGATGTGATTCATCTTGGCTGCTGTGGAGATGGAATGGGAAGGTTCCAGCACTGACAGAGCTGCTCATGAAATCCTGTGCTGCTGGCATTGTTGGGCCGTGTATCCTTTAGAATTGCAACACCCTAAACCCGACAAACAGGCACTTCATCCACACCAGCTCCTTCTCCTTTCTCCTTCTTTATGGAAAATTGGCAGGCTCCCAACCTGTTTCCATAGGAACGGGCTGGGAGAGCAGGAGACCTCCAGCTGCTGAAGTCCCAGCCTTAACACGGCCATGGCATCTGCTTGGCCGTGACAGGAGCTCCTGCAGCCTCTGGAGACTGCAGGCATGGGGAAAACACTCATTTTGTGTTGGAGATAAGGAGCTGATAAGCAGCTTACCCGAGGCTGCCTGGCTGATTTCGGTGCAGGCTGGAAAAAGCTCCATTGTTTGCTCTTGGATGCTGAGTCTCATCCTGCTCCCCTGCTTCTTTGGGGGCTGCCCCAAACCTCCCACGTTCCCCAGGCTGAGCAGAGGCTTCCCCGCAGGATGGCAGCATTTCACTAAAGCTCCAGCATCAGCTGGAGATGCCTCAGGTGTCTGCTAGGATTTGCTTCCCTCTTATGAAATGAAAAAGAGAGGAAATAAATTGTGGCACAGCTCCCCCGCCTGACTTTCTGCTCGGGTGCCAGTTACCAGCTCAGGCTATTGTTCTGCAGAGTTTCATTTTAAGCTCCTTTATTAGACACTCTAAAATATCACTTCCTTGCTCTTGCAAACAGCCTGTTCCTGCAGGAGAGATTTGTGCTTCTTAGTCAGCTGCTGGTGCTTTCCAAGGGAAGGCAGCCCTGGGAGTCGTGGTTTATCACCTGCTCTGCTGCTGTTTGATCCCCTCTCTGCCCCAGGGCTGGGCTGTGCTCTCACACTGCTGCTAAGAGGTGCAATTAGGGTTTGGCCTCCTTGCAGAAGCTCCCATCAAACACTCCAAGCTCCTCATATGAGAAGAGAGGAGCTGGGCTGAGCTGGTTCCCACGTCCTTCTAAGTGCTGCACTTTCTCCAGTCTGTCTGCACATGCACAGCTGGGAACTGCCATGGAAAATCTTCCTAACCCTACAGCATCAGTTCCCCTAGGAGGGAAAAAATGCTTTATTCCTTCCAGTGGATTTTTATGGAGCAGGTAATACATGGGAGGTTCTGCCCCATTCTGAGCCCGTGGCCCTGGTATGAGCACCAGAGCAAGGAGCTGCTTCCAGAAAGGTCCTTTATCCCTGTTTGCTCTTTATTGCTCCCAACAAACAGGTTCCCAGCTGGGGAAGCAGCAGAGCTCTCCAGGGAATTGCACAAACCCTCACCTTGCTGCTCAGCCAAAGAGCAAACCTGAGCTTTGCTACAGCCCCAGCAGCTGCCATGCCTGTGGTTCCAAATCCTCAGGGGGGAATTACTCACCCTGAGAGCTCCCAGTGAGGATCAGAGGGGAAAGGGGGGGTCCTGGCACCTCTGTCTGTGTGGCACTCACCCACCTGAGGCAGCAGTGTGCCCCAGGGGTGGGCAGCACGCTGCCGGGGAGGCCAGCAGGGAGGGAAAGGCAGCTGGGCCTGGCACATCTGCAGCAAGAGGAGGCAGCAACGCTGACTCCCACGGCAGCTGCAGGGGTGGGAAGCAGCACAGGTTTTATTCTGTCTGGTACAAAAGGTACCCTTGAAAAAAGGCAGAAGGCAGGCTGAGGCTCAGGCACCACATGCTACATGAGCACGACCTCCTCTTTGAGTTCTTGGATGCTCATGTGAAAAATGTGTATTTTATGATTGGCTTTTCTCAAATATTCAAATGAATATTAGATGAGTTGTGTTAGAAAGTAATGCTGTTTTAATTCTCTTAAGTAGAGTGCTAAATATAGTTTTAGGTTATAAAAAATATTAAAATAGAAACTGTGCTATGTAGGATAGTTTCTCTAAAGAAAGGACTTGCAGCGAAATAGCAGCCACAGGACACCTCAATCTTTCAGAGAAAGAGAATTTATTGCCCCATTATCAGAAGAAACGAACTTCTTCCCACCTCGAAGGCGCTGTCAAGATTCAGAGGAAGAAGTTGATGATGACCAGGCAGAATCCTGTGTTTGAATGGAATTTATGCATCGTGTATGAGGTGTATGAATATGCAACAGGCTGTTGCTTTTAAGGGTTAATCCTCTGTTAACGGGGGTCCTTTTTCAGGCTGGTGCTGCCCAGAAAGGGGTACCTGGAAGTCCATAACTCTTTGTCTCTATTGTCTCATATTGTCCTAATTCAAATTGTCCAAATTATTATTACTCTAATTGTATTACTATTTTTACAACCATTTAATTACTATTTTATTTACTATTTTATTTTATTACTATTTTATTTACTATTTTAAAATTTTAAAAACAGTTGGTTGGCATTTTTCACGCTCAGGGGCTCTTTTTGTGTGGTTTTAGAGTCATCACAGCACGTGTGGCCAAATCTCCCCTGGAATGGTCTCCCTCCCAGTGCTGTGATGGCCAGGGGCTCCTTCAGCTTGGGAAGGAGCTGTGGAGGACTGGCTGCCCAAATGTCAGTGTCTCTTTGGCATGGCTCCGTGGTCAGCCTGTCCCTTACCGAGGTGTTGGCCAAAGAATTGCTGCAGAGGTCAGGTGGGATCCTAGACAGACCATGAAGCTCCCAGCTTGTTCTTAGCGGGGGATTAGTGAGGAGAAGGGGGTTCCTTTCACTGCTCTGAGCACATCTGATGCAGATGTTTCCAGAGAGTCAATCAGCTGAATTAATGAATCCTTCCTAAAGCCAGAATTCAAAGATGTTCCTAGTACACGTCAGCTGACATGGCATTAATACTCCCTTCTGTGACCTTTACATCACCACCCAAGCCCAGGCTCCCCTTTTTGCCTTTTCATATTTAATATTAAATCTGATTTAGCTGCAAGGGGGCTTTATCATGTGCTCACACAAGTCAAAGGGATTTCACAGTCCATACCGGAGGCAGAGCCATGGGTGGGAAAAGCATTGCCCTGAGGAGAAAAGCCCTGAGCTGAGGGTAAAAGCATCACATGCACTGAGGACAGAGCTCTCCACCACTGCTCCCTTGGCACTCAGCACCACTCCTGTGCCTGATTTTTACCTGTGTTGCTTGAGGTACTTGCTGACCCCCCCTTTTTCTTGAAGCTCAGTGCTCAGCAAACTCCAGAGCTGC